GGGTTTAGGGCTTAATGTTATGGATGTTGGTTATCTATTCCCCAAAGCCCCAAAACCTAAGCCCTAAAGCCTGGACATCTGATTTGTGCATTCCCCGAAGCCCTCAACCCAAGCCACCCTAAACCACCCTGAACCCTAAACCCGAAACCCTAAACCCTAAACCCGAAACCCTAAACCCTAAACCCTAAACCCTAAAACTCTGAGCCCTTCAAGAGCAGCCCAGGAGCATCGAGGAGGCCGTGGAGCAGGCCGGGGCTCCTCTGATATGGGAGGTTAACGGTGTTCGGGGGAGTTGGGGTTTCGGGTTTAGGGTTTAGGGCTAGGGTTTAGGGTTTAGGGTTTAGGGTTTAGGGTTTAGGGTTTAGGGTTTAGGGTTTAGGGTTTAGGGTTTAGGGTTTAGGGTTTAGGGTTTAGGGCTAGGGTTTAGGGTTCAGGGTTCAGAGTTGTTTGAGCGGTGACCCTGGCTCTCATCTCCGAAGCAGGTGTGTGAGACGATCCATGGCCTCCAGCTGAGACTTGTATCTGGGTCTCAACAGCTAGATGGGGTTTAGGGTTTAGGGGTTTAGGGGTTTAGGGGTTAAGGGTTCAAGGGTTAAGGGTTTAGGGTTTTGGGGTTAGTCAGGATACCTCAGAGGCTCGTTTTGAGAGTATGTTTCATCCATGAGCCCTAAGCCCGAAACCGTACACCCAAAACCCAAAACCCAAAACCCAAAACCCAAAACCCAAAACCCAAAACCCAAAACCCAAAATCCTAAACCCTAAACCCTAAACCCTAAGCCCTAAACCCTAAACCCCAAGCCCTAAGCCCTAAACCCAATTTGGGATGAAGGAATGTCGGACAGCCCCCCCTTCTGCTTCGGAACTTTCATCCTCGGATATCCTAAACCCTAAACGCCCGAAGCTCTGAACGTATTGTGACATTAAGAGAATCGCGTTTAGGGTGTTGAGGATTTTTCATATGATTTCTTCTTGGGTTTAGGCCTTAGGATGTAGGGTTTAGGGTTAGGGTTTGGGGCTGGGCTTAGGGCTTGGGGCTTAGGGCTTAGGGCTTAGTGCTTAGGGCTTAGGGCTTAGGGTTTAGGGTTTAGGGTTAGGAATCCCAAGCCTGAAATGTTGCAAAGGCATCGGAATCTTTCAAGAGCGAAGTACCCACCGAAGTGGTCTCGCGTGCGCCGGGTGAGTTGGAGGACCCGAGCAGCAAAGGTTTTAGGGTTTAGGGTTTAGGGTTTCGGGTTTAGGGCCTCACCCTAAACCCTAAACCCAAAACCCTCAGTTGGGGTTATACATAGCTTGGGGTGAAGGGCAAGTGTTTAGGGTTTGAAGACGGTTTACAACGAGCCTCGAAGCCCTCGAGGGCCCGGAGCCCATATCCAAGAATCCAAAAAACCCTCCGTTCAACACCCCATGCCCAGAATCTACAATCCTAGGACACCACCGGTTTCGTGCCCTGTTCAGGGTGTTTTTTGTACTGGCAAGTTCCAGCGTACCCACTCCCTTAAGCCCTAACCCTAAACCCTAAACCCTAAACCCTAAACCCTAAACCCTAAACCCTAAACCCTAAACCCTAAACCCTAAACCCGAAACCCGAAACCCTAAACCCGAAGCTGGCAGGACCTGAACCTCGATGACAAAGAGGCCGGGTGAGCTGCACTCCCTAAGACAAGACCCCAGATTCCCAAACGTGTTCGGGTAGGTGTTAGGGTGTTAGGGTTTTATAGGTTTGTAGGGCTTTAGGGTGTTAGGGTTTTAGGGTTTTTCGGGTTTCAGGGTTTAGGGTTTTAGGGCTTGGGGTCTAGGGCTTTGGCTTCAAAACCCTAAACCCTAAACCCTAAACCCTAAACCCTAAACCCTAAACCCTAAACCCTAAACCCTAAACCCTAAACCCCAAACCCCAAACCCCAAACCCCAAACCCCAAACCCCAAACGCTGCGCGACCGCCAGGATGCCAGCATCAGCCAGCTGGCGGGCGCGTCCCAGGAGCTGGCCGACTTGGGATCGGGCATGGCCTCTTCGGAGCTTGGAGGAGCCAGGGGTTTAGGGTTTAGGGTTTGGGGTTTAGGGTTTAGGGTTTGGGGTTTAGGGTTCAGGGTTTAGGGTTTAGGGTTGAGGGTTTAGGGTTTAGGGGTTAGGGGTTGGGGTTTAGGGTTTGGGGTTTAGGGTTTAGGGTTGAGGCGGACTTGGAGTCAATGCGATCCAGAAAAGATTACGGATTGTTTGGGATTCAGGGTTTGGAGCTTAGGGTTTAGGGAGTGGGGTTCAGGGGTTTAGGGGTTTAGGGGTTTAGGGGTTTAGGGGTTTAGGGGTTGAGGGGTTTAGGGGTTTAGGGGTTTAGGGGTCTAGGGGTTTAGGGGTCTAGGGGTTTAGGGGTTTAGGGGTTTAGGGGTTTAGGGGTTTAGGGGTTTAGGGGTTTAGGGGTTTAGGGGTTTAGGGGCTTAGGGGCTTAGGGTTTAGGGGTTTGGGGTTCAGGGTTCGTTGTTTAGGGTTTATGGGTCTGTTGGGTGTGGATTCTTGGGGTGGGTTCGTAGTCCTCAGGGTTTACGCTCACCACGTTCCTTCGTATGACCAGAGATAGGCACGTTCTCTTTGGACCTTCACCGCTTCTTTAGCTTGCGCAAGGCAATAAAAGCCCCAGAACCCAGACCCTTGACCCAAAACCCCGCAGCCCTACAGCCGGTGAGGACGGAGGGAGGATCCGTCACCCGACAGGCGTCCAAGTGGAATGCAGGAGCTGCGAGTTTTTGGGTTTAGGGTTCAGGGTTTTTACGCGGCTAAGTTTTTTAAAGGGTTTGCCGGGAAGTTTGCCGGGTGTAGGACCGTAGGGTGTAGGGTTCTGGATGTAGTTGTACAGGATCTTTCTATTACCATTTTTCTTGTTTCTTTTGTGGCTGCCATTATCATTGTTATTAGTGTCATATGTTGATTGCTATGGCAACCATTTATGTGTATGTGTGCGCGGGCACACGTAGCGGTGGGGGGGAGGAGGGTGGGCGCGGGGTTTGCGATCCGCGGGCGTAGGGAGCGGAGTCTGGGAAGAATGCCAGCCACGATTCTGATTTTTTGAACAAAGTCTTCCGCTTCCTGAAGTCCTAAACGGCAACCCAGAACCCGAAACCTACCCTAAATAGACCCTAAACCCTAAACCCTAAACCCTAAACCCTAAACCCTAAACCCTAAAGTCTAAACCCTAAACCCTCAACCCTAAACCCTAAACCCTAAACCCTAAACCCTAAACCCTAAACCCTAAACCCTAAACCCTAAGCCTTAAACCCTGAACCCTGAAGCCCTAAACACAAGTCTCCGAAACTCCAACCCTAGGCCCGAAACTCTCCGAAGCCCGGAATTCTCAACTGAAAGCATGGGCCTCAATCCCTAAACTGCAAATATCCTGAGCCCCAAGGTCATGAACACTATCCTATAGGCCCCAACCCGCAACCCGAAACCCGAAACCCTGAACCCTGGAAGCCCTAAACGCGAAAACCCTAAAACCCTGAAACCCTGAAACCCTAAAACCCTAAAACCCTAAAACCCTAAAACCCTAAAACCCTGAAACCCTGAAACCCTAAAACCCTAAAGCCCTAAAACCCTAAAACCCTAAAACCCTAAAACCCTGAAACCCTGAAACCCTGAAACCCTGAAACCCTACAACCCTAAAACCCTAAAACCCTAAAACCCTCAAACCCTAAAACCCTAAAACCCAAAAACCTTTCACTCAAAAAACCCTAAAACTCAAAAAGCCCTACAACCCTAAAGCCCTAAAAACCTAAATCCTAAAACCCCCCAACATCCTACAACCCCAAAATCCTAAAACCCTAAACCCCTCAACCCTAAAACCCCCCAAAATCCTAAAACCCTCCATCAAACCCCGGAGGAAAACCCTAAAACCCTAAACCCTAAACCCTAAACCCTAAACCCTAAACCCTAAACCCTAAACCCTAAACCCTAAACCCTAAACCCTAAACCCTAAACCCGAAACCCTAAACCCTAAACCCTAAACCCTAAAACCATCCATCAACCCCCGCAGGAGAGCATCGCGAGCGTGGCTGACAGCTTGCAGAGCATCCAGAGCGACCCATTCCAAGCTTCGGCCCCTTCTCTTTGCATGGGAGTGGGTTTAGGGTTTAGGGTTTAGGGTTTAGGGTTTAGGGCTTAGGGTTTAGGGTTTAGGGTTTAGGGTTCAGGGTTTAGAGTTTAGGGTTTAGGGTTTAGGGTTCAGGGTTATGAGGGGGTTTGAGGGTTTAGGGTTTAGGGTTCAGGGTTTGAGGGGGTTTGAGGGTTTTGGGGCTCTTTTTTTTTTTTTGGGGGGGGGGGGGGGGGGGGGGGGGGGGGGGGGGGGGGGGGGGGGGTAAGGTGTTCTTAGAGGTTTTGGGGTTTGGGGGTTTGAGGGTTCCAGAGGCTTGCTGGGGTTTGAGGGGCATCACAGGTTTTTGTGGGGGGTTTAGGCGTTTGAGGGTTTGAGGGGCTTTTTGGGGCATTAGGGGTTTTAGTGGTTTGGTGTTTCGGGTACCCATTTTTTGAGGGGTCCCCTTAACAGGTATTATCGTATACGGGGGTTTCCCAAACTAGGGGTACCTTCTTGGGTCCTTAAGACAAGGGACTCCTAATCCTACTACTTGGGGGTCGATATTATGCCCATCTGTGGGTAATAAAAATGCAGGATTCATTATCTTATTTACTTCTATCTTTATCATATGAGAAGTCTTTCAATGCCATTCTATTTTATAATGAAGACGTCCAGTAGATTTAATGGTTTGTGTCTGTGCTTTTGGTTTCTTTCAGTTTTTTCTTTTATTTGGATAGGTGGTCAATTTCCTGTAGACAGCTTTCTATCTTATGGTCGTATCTTGACATTACATTATTATCTTGTTCTCTCTCTCTCTCACACAATTAATGCGCTTACTTCGTGCACTTATTAATAGTATTCGTTCGTTCTCTTCGTAGCTTTATGATTGTATCCAGGGTGTACGCATGAAGGTGAATTTTCTAGCTCCTGGAAAAGCCGCATGAAACGACACATGGACGTGAATGTACCGTGTAAAGACCTTAACTTTGAGACAGAGGTAAAAGCCGCTAGAAAGGAGACAAGAAATTACTATGAGAATGAGTCTGTTCATGTGTTCACTTTGTTCACACGGTATTCTCACGAGCTCACGAAATACTAATAGAAAACCAATGAATGAGCGGGAGACTTCCAGAAGATAGAAAAAGTCCTCCCCCCCTGTATTGTGGGGGCCTTGCTGGCCATTGACCTCAGGCCACCTGTCCCTATGGCGTGCTGAACCCCCACGTTAGCGGCAAGCTTGCCTGGGACTTCATCGTCATGTTCCTCAGAGGGGTACTTGGAAACTTTTTAAAGACAAGTTCAGGGTTTACGGGTTTAGGGTTTAGGGATTAGGGTTTTTTGGGTTACCAGAATCCCCAAAGGAACAGCTGAAATTCGCAATTTTTGCAACGGCAGCCCAGTTCAGTATAGGTTCTTGGTGCTCATGGATGCCACTGTCCTACCTTTTCAGCTAACGTTCAAGGGAAACCAGGATGAGGACTCATTCGACATGGCCTGGCTGTGGATTACCACCCTGGTTTTCGGCATTGATGTCGCCGCCGCCTCAGATTCAAGGGCAACTAGGGGTTTAGGGGTTTAGGGGTTTAGGGTTTAGGGTTTAGGGTTGAGGGTTGAGGGTTGATGGAAATGTTTCGGGCGTCTGGATTCTAAATGTTTTTACGATGTGCCAGACTCGAGTCTTGCGTGATCACGTGGCACTGAACCCCAGGTCATGTCTTTCAACACAGCGGTGGAAGCCACGGAGAAGGACCTGTACGTGGCACCAGGCACTTGGTTTTGGGCTTGCAGCACCTTTGTAGGCTCGCTCAGATGTCGATTGCTTAAACTGGAGTCTGTTTTGGGCTTACTATCATAAGGCGGCCGTTTGTATTGAGCCCAAAAAAGGAATCCATGGGTGCATGTCACTTCCGCATGCAGAATGTGAGGAGAGGTAGAGGCAGGTTCTTTGGCGGTTTCCATTGAAATGCCACATGGAGGCAAGCTTATCACGAGCCGGGCGATAATTGCGAAGAAGCCTCTCGCCTATTTTTTTTTTTTTGGGGGGGGAGGGGGGGTTGCCCTCGGCGCCCGGGCAATGGCTGGACCTTTTGACACCCCTAGAGACCCAGGTACATCCGAGGGTGGTTTGCCATCGATTTTGGAAGCACCGTCCCCTGGCGCCTCGGCGGCAACACCCCATAAAGCCTGAACCTTAAACCCTAAACCCTAAACACTAAACCCTGACCCTAAATCCCAAGCCCTACACCCTAAACCGTAAGCCCTAAACCCTACACTTTTACCCCTCCCCACTTTGTAGTGAACAGAACCCGTGCCTCTCCAGAGCAGGCACAACATCCCATGTTCTCTTGTGCGCAAATGGGGAAAGCCCTATCCAGATGGTTTGTGGGTGTCGATTCGAGGTTTCAGGGTTTGGGGTAAAACCCCGCCCCCACACCCTCCCCGCAAAACCCTCCTAAACCCCTTTCAGGCCCCCCCCCCTCCCCCCCTCCCCCTAAAGCCTAAGCCTAAAGTCTAAGCCTAAAGTCTAAGCCTAAAGCCTAAGCCAAAAGCCGAAAGCCTAGACCCTAAACCCTAAGCCCTAAACCCTAAACCCTAAACCCTCAACCCTAAACCCTAAGCCCCGAAAGGTCGCAGATCGCAGAGGCCATGACGGCAGGAGAGGGCTCCAGTTCTCAGCTGACGCGGCTGACGAAGGCGAGGCCTTGGGATTACTGTTTAGGGTGTCAGGGTTTAGGGTTTAGGGTTTAGGGTTCAGGGTTAGCTCTAAACGCCATTAAAGCCTGCACCCCCAATTCCTTGGTGCAGCAATCAATATGGCGGTTGATCCACATCCAGGGCACTTCCTGGTACCCACCCCGGCCCCAAAATTCCCGATGAAGCGTCAATAGATCTTCAGGGTTCAGTGCTGAGAAGGTTCGTGAGCTCTCGCAACCCAACAGGTTCTTAAAGTAGCAGAACCTCTGCACCCCTGCCTTGAAAGCCTCACACCCTAAAGCTCCTAACCCCCTCCCCCTCCCCCTCCCCCTCCCTCCCCCTCCCCTCCCCTCCCCCTCCCCCTCCCTCTCCTCCTCCCCCTCCCCCGAAAGAACCCCCACAAGAAGCTGGACTGTTGCCTAGCCCTCCACGCCCCAAAAAAGCCCAAAAAGTCCTAAAGCCTTAAAAAACCCTAAACCCTAAACCCTAAACCCTAAACCCTAAACCCTAAACCCTAAACCCTAAACCCTAAACCCTAAACCCTAAACCCTAAACTCTATCCTGGATTGAATGACAGGTGGTGAAGTTCGTCCGCCTCCTGCGGCTCCTTCATCTTGACTTCTCCTTCATCTTGACTTAGGGTTTAGTGTTTAGGGTTTAGGGTTCAGGGTTCCAGGCTTGTGGGGGGCAGGGGGTTTCTTTATGGTTCTTAGTAGGGAATGAGGGAAGCAGTCAGGAAAGAACCAATACGTTTAGGGTTTTGGGATTAGGGCTTCAGGGTTCAGGGCTTGAGAGGGCATCCTTACACCCGAACCAGAAGGACTGTGCGCATTGAGCAGGAGAGCCATCGCCCTCAACGCGAGTGAAGCCCTATAAACCCTGAACATTCTCCGGAATCCTCCCTAAACCCTAAACCCAAAGCCCTAAACCCTAAACCCTAAACCCTAAACCCTAAACCCTAAACCCAAAGCCCTAAACCCTAAACCCTCAACCCTAAACTCTAAACCCTAACCCCTAGGCTCATGCGCATGCTCCGCCTGGCCAAGCTTGGAGCCATCTGGGAGCGGATCGAGGCCCTAAAGACCCTCAACTCCCTTAGGGTTTAGGGTTTAGGGCTTAGGGCTTAGGGCTTAGGTCTTAGGGTCTTCTAGGGTTTAGGGCTTAGGGTTTAGGCCTCAACCCTAAGCTCCCAGGAATTGTTGATGGTTTTGGGCTTTGAGTGTACTTTTTTTTTGTTTTTGGCATTTTTCAAGACCTTGGGATGCTCTCCCTTATACTAACAGCTCCCCAATCGGGGATCATCGTATGGGGTACTATAATGCCTAGTCAGGACTGTGAGGATAGGGGGGAACATCCCAACCTTCTTGCTTCAATCTCGACTTGTTTGCGCAGCTGCCCGTTGCTTCTTTGGATGCCAGCCAGACCCCTACAACCCATCAGCCCCAGGCCCCAAGCCCCTTATTGCTTTATTCTATACCCAATTGGACACAAAACAAGGGTCTTGGTCCAGGTCCAGGGCCTCCAATTTTTGGGGGTCTATATGGCTTTAGGTTCGATGGTTTAGGGTTTAGGGGTTTATAGGTTTTGAGGCCCCATTCACCTATACTGGGAGGCTCGGATCGGGTCGATCTTCTTCGTGCAGTGCGTGGCGCTGATCCGCAGCCCGGCCGGGGGTGGCGGTGAGATGCGCGCGAGAGCCCCCCAACAGATCCTAAAGCCTTTAAGCTCTAAACCCTAAACCCTAAACCCTAAAACCCTGAACCTTACACCCTAAACCCTAAACTCTAAACCCTAAACCCTAAACCCTAAACCCTAAACCCTAAACCCTAAACCCTAAACCCTAAACCCTAAACCCCAAGGTGACTCCACGACTTCAAAGGCGCTCCTCCCCCTTCCCCTTCCCCCCACCTCCCCCTCAAACCCAATACAGCTCAGGCGTCCTCCTGGTGGTGATCGGCATTTGCCACTGGAATGCCTGCATATTCTGGTTGGTGGGGCTGAATCGGAATTTGCGCCTCGCCATGCAGTCAGGGATCTGAGTTCAGTGCTCAGGGTGACAGAACTTCGGGGTTAGGATTTAGGGCTATTCTGGTCTCAGGGCTTAAGGCTGCGTGGGATTTGTGGGGTAGGGCTGTGGGCGCGGGTGGAGGGCGTGAGGTTTAGGGAGTCAAGCTTCGTGATGCCAGACGAGTGGTGCCCAATACCTGAGCCTCAACCGAGAGCGAGAGCGAGCGCTAGAGTGAGAGTGAGAATGAGAATGAGAATGAGAATGAGAATGAGAATGAGAGTGAGAGTGAGAGAGAGAGAGAGAGAGAGAGAGAAAACAAACACAAACAAAAGAGAGGGAGAACCCACTTTGGTCGGCGACCGCATACTCCTCGAAAGACAGGGAGAACGGTTGTATTGAGTTTCGGGGTAGGAGGGCTGCAGCATGCCCCCGAGGTTCACGGAACTCATGAGCGACGAGGCCCAGGCAGAGTACGCTGCAGGGCCAGCTGGCGGCAGCGAGTCCCTCAACCCTCAACCCTCAGCCCCAAACCCAACCTGAACCTAGACCCGAAGGCCCCGAACGCCCCCGAAGACGTGGAGACAGAACCCAGCAGCCCACATGTGTTTTGGTCCTCTGTCCTTGTTTGGTTGTCCGAAGTATGACAGGGCCCTTATTATCAACCCCCCCCAAACAGTGGGGACCCTTTGTCCAGGACTTAACCGCCGCATGGCCCTAAGCCCTTTCCACCCTGAACCCTCAGCCTACACCCCTCCCATCATACAGCCCCAAACAAACCCAAAACACTTTCTACCTTGAACCCTCAACGGGTTTAGGGTTTAGGGTTTGGGGTTTGGGGTTGAGGGAACCCAAACGGTGAGGAGTCCACCCTGCCCCCTCTCCTGCAGTAAGAGAGTCAGGCCACACTGGACGACAGTCTGGCGGATGACCGAGGCTCAGGCATCCTGCCCCGCGAAATGGTCAGCCCTATACAGCCTTTCAGGGTTTAGGGTTTAGGGTTTAGGGTTTAGGGTTCAGGGCAGTGCCGCACTTTAAACTGCCACTGGTGCCATCAGGGCACGTGTCATGATAGACGCCCGAAACCCTGAAACCCTAGAAGCTCTTGAAACGCCAGGAACTCTTGAAACCCAGAAACCCTAGACGCCCTGGAAGCCCTAGAAACCCTAGAAACCCTACAAACTCTAGAAATCCTAGAAACCCAGAAACTCTAGAAGCTCCAGAAGCCCTGGAAACCCTAGAAGCCGTAGAAACAGAAACCCCAGAAACCCTAAACCCTAGAAACCCTAGAAACCCTAGAAACCCTATAAACCCTGGAACTCTAGAAACTCTAGGAACGCTAGAAACCCTAGAAACCCTAGCAACAGAAACCCAGAAACCCTAGACAGCCCCAAACAAAAACCCTAGAAGCCCTACAAACACTACAAACTCTAGAAACCCTCAAACACAAGCTCTAGAAACTCTAGAAAACCCCAAACAGAAATGCTAGAAAGCCTAGAAAGCCTAGAAAGCCTAGAAAGCCTAGAAACCCTAGAAACCCTAGAAACCCTAGAAACCCTAGAAACCCTAGAAACCCTAGAAACCGCCGAAACCCCAGAAACCCTAGTGTCTCCAGAAACAGGCCGACGCCTGGCGATGGGTGGACCGGCCGCTGTCCGAGTGCTACGCCGCCTGGCAAAGAAAGAAAGGGAGGGGGGGACTTTAGGGGTTCAATGGTTTAGGGGTTTAGGGGTTTAGGGGCTTAGGTGTTTAGGTGTCTTAGGAGTTTAGGGGTTTAGGGGTTTAGGGGTTTAGGGGTTTAGGGTTTAGGGGTTTAGGGGTTTAGGGGTTTAGGGGTTTAGGGGTTTAGGGGTTTAGGGGTTTAGGGGTTTAGGGGTTTAGGGGTTTAGGGGTTTAGGGGTTTAGGATAGGGAACTTCGAGGTTTGGGGAGTGAGGAGCCTCCTGAAGCACGACTTCCCACACCCAGAAAGACCAAGCCGGATAAGTTCTAGCGGCCGAGACCCTAAAACCTAGACCCTAGACCCTAGACCCTAAACCCTCAACCCTAAACCCTAAACCCTATAAGCCTATGTACGTAGGACCTTTAGGGTCTATTTGGCACGCCTCGTTTGCCGCCGGGAAATCCCTAGATTTGATTTTTCAAGGATTTCATGAAATTTAAAATGCCCAAAAAACCCTTGAAATCCTTAAAAAATCAAATCCCGGGATTCAATATTTTAAGGATTTCAAGGATTTTTTGGGCATTTTAAATTTCATGAAATCCTTGAAAAATCAAATCCCGGGATTTAATTTTTCAAGGATTTCAAGGATTTCATAAATTTAAATACCGGAAAACCTCCCCTCCCCACCCAGAGTACGGGAAGACCACGCGGATTTTAAAATTTATGAAACCCTTGAAATCCTTGAACAATTAAATCCCGGGATTTAATTTTTCAAGGATTTCATAAAATTTCAAATGCCCAAAAACCCTTGAAATCCTTAAAAAATCAAATCCTGGGATTTAATATTTTAAGGATTTCAAGGATTTTTTGTGCATTTTAAATTTTATGAAATCCTTGAAAAATCAAATCCCGGGATTTAATTTTTCAAGGATTTCAAGGATTTCATAAATTTTAAAATCCGCGTGGTCTTCCCGTACTCTGAGTGGGGAGGGGGGGGGTTTGCTTTTGCAGGAGTTCCGGTATTTAAATTTTATGAAATCCTTGAAATCCTTGAAAAATCAAATCCCGGGATTTGATTTTTCAAGGATTTCATAAAATTTCAAATGCCCAAAAACCCTTGAAATCCTTAAAAAATCAAATCCTGGGATTTAATATTTTAAGGATTTCAAGGATTTTTTGGGCATTTTAAATTTTATGAAATCCTTGAAAAATCAAATCCCGGGATTTAATTTTTCAAGGATTTCAAGGATTTCATAAATTTTAAAATCCGCGTGGTCTTCCCGTACTCTGAGTGGGGAGGGGGGGGGTTTGCTTTTGCAGGAGTTCCGGTATTTAAATTTTATGAAATCCTTGAAATCCTTGAAAAACTAAATCCCGGGATTTAATTTTTCAAGGATTTCATAAAATTTCAAATGCCCAAAAAATCCTTGAAATCCTTAAAAAATCAAATCCGGGATTTAATATTTTAAGGATTTCAAGGATTTTTTGGGCATTTAAATTTTTATGAAATCCTTGAAAAATCAAATCCCGGGATTTAATTTTTCAAGGATTTCAAGGATTTCATAAATTTTAAAATCCGCGTGGTCTTCCCGTACTCTGAGTGGGGAGGGGGGGGTTTGCTTTTGCAGGAGTTCCGGTATTTAAATTTTATGAAATCCTTGAAATCCTTGAAAAATTAAATCCCGGGATTTGATTTTTCAAGGATTTCATGAAATTTAAAATGCCTAAAAAACCCTTGAAATCCTTAAAAAACCAAATCCCGGCATTTGATATTTTAAGGATTTCAAGGATTTTTTGGGCATTTTAAATTTCATAAAATCCTTGAAAAATCAAATCCCGGGATTTAATTTTTCAAGGATTTCAAGGATTTCATAAATTTTAAAATCCGCGTGGTCTTCCCGTACTCTGAGTGGGGAGGGGGGGTTTGCTTTTGCACGATTTCCGGTATTTAAATTTTATGAAATCCTTGAAATCCTTGAAAAATTAAATCCCGGGATTTGATTTTTCAAGGATTTCATGAAATTTAAAATGCCCAAAAAATCCTTGAAATCCTTAAAAAATCAAATCCGGGGATTTGATATTTTAAGGATTTCAAGGATTTTTTGGGCATTTTAAATTTCATGAAATCCTTGAAAAATCAAATCCCGGGATTTAATTTTTCAAGGATTTCAAGGATTTCATAAATTTTTAAATCCGCGTGGTCTTCCCGCACTCTGAGTGGGGAGGGGGGGGGGTTTGCTTTTGCAGGAGTTCCGGTATTTAAATTTTATGAAATCCTTGAAATCCTTGAAAAACTAAATCCCGGGATTTAATTTTTCAAGGATTTCATGAAATTTAAAATGCCCAAAAAATCCTTGAAATCCTTAAAAAATCAAATCCCGGGATTTAATATTTTAAGGATTTCAAGGTTTTTTTGGGCATTTTAAATTTTATGAAATCCTTGAAAAATCAAATCCCGGGATTTGATTTTTCAAGGATTTCAAGGATTTCATAAATTTTATAATCCGCGTGGTCTTCCCGCACTCTGAGTGGGGAGGGGGGCGTTTGCTTTTGCAGGAGCTCCGGTATTTGAAGTTTATGAAATCCTTGAAATCCTTGAAAAACTAAATCCCGGGATTTAATTTTTCAAGGATTTCATGAAATTTAAAATGCCCAAAAAATCATTGAAATCCTTAAAGAACTAAATCCCGGGGTTCGGTTTAGGGTTTAGGGTTTAGGGTTTAGGGTTTAGGGTTTAGGGTTTAGGGTTTAGGGTTTAGGGTTTAGCGTTTAGGGTTTAGGGTAATATCCTTGAAACCCTTAACAAAAATCAAATACCGGATTTGATTGTGTAAGGAGTTCATAAAAAGTTAAGATGCCGAAAAAGAATTTAAACCCTTTAAAATCAAACCCCGGGAATTGTCTTTTCCAGGATTTCAGACATACCCGCTCATTGCCCATCCCACATCACCCCGCATCATCTCCCATCATCTCCCATCGTTTCTCTCATCCCCCATCATGCCCCATCATCCCCCAATCATCCCCCATCATCTCCCATCATTTCGGGAGGGGTGAAAGGGATGATGGGGGATGATGGGGGATGAGACAGTCAGCCCCCTTATCATGTCCCATCGTCTCTCTCATCCCGCGTCATCCCCCATCATCCCCCATCATCCCCCATCATCCCGCATCATCCGCCATCATCCCCATCATCTCCCATCATCCCCCATCATCCCCCATCATCATTCCCCATCATCTCTCATAATCCCTTTCACCCCCCCATCATCCACCATCATCCCCCATCAGCCCCCATCATCGTCCCCGATCAGCCCCTATCATGCCCCATCATGTCTCTCATCCCGCGTCCCCCATCATTCCCCATCACCCCCCATCATCTCCCATCATCCCGCATCATCCCCCATCATCCCCCATCATCATTCCCCATCATCTCCCATAATCCCTTTCACCCCCCCTCTTGAGGGGTTAGTGACTGCCCTAGAGGTTAGTCGTATGTCCCCCCGCTTCGTGTTGTTGTGATTTGGTAGGGGCCCAGAGGTTTGTATGAGTTGTTTTCTTCGTTCGTGTTGTAAGGGTTTTGTGAGGGCCCCGGAGGTTTGTCGCATGTCCCCTTTCTTCGTGCTTGTAGGGTTTGGGGAGTGTCTAGATAATTGTCAAAAATCATTCCTTCCGCGCTCGTACTATGAGGGGCTAGTGGCTGCCCTAGAGGTTTGTCGTACATTCCCCCGCTTCGTGTTCCTGAGATTTGGTAGGGGCCAGAGGCTTGTCATATGTCCCCTCCCTTCGTCCCTTCGTGTTGTGAGGGTTGCATTCGGCCTTGGAGGTTTGCCGTATGTCCCCTTTCTTGGCGTCTAGATGATTGTCATCATAAGTCATTTGCTTCCGTGGTCGTATTATGAGGGCTATTGACCGCCCTAGAGATTTGTCGTATGCCCCCCTGCTTCGTGTTCCTGTGAGTTGGGAGGGGCCTAAAGGTTTATCTTTTGTCCCCTCCCTTCGTCCCTTCGTGTTGTAAGGGTTTCGTGAGCGCTCTGGAGGTTTTTCGTATGTCCCCTTTGTTCGTGCTTGCAGGGTTTGGGGAGTGTCTAGATGATTATCACATATCCTTTGCTTCCGCAGTCGCTATGAGGGTATTGATTGCCCTAAAGATTTCTCGTGTGCCCCCCCGCTTCGTATTCCTGTGATTTGGTAGGGGTCTAGAGGTTTGTCGTAATTCCTCTCCCTTCGTTCCTTCGTGGGATGTTTGCGTGTGTCCCCTTTCATCGTGCTTGTAGGGTTTGGGGAGCCTAGACGACTGATATATATATATATATATAATTCGATTCTGTGCTCGTATTGTGAGGGGCTAGTGATCGCCCTAGAGGTTTGTCGTATGTCCCCCCGATTCCTGTTCCTGAGATTTGGTGGGGGCCTAGAGCTTTGTCGTATGTCCCCTCCTTTCGCCCCTTCGTGTTGTAGGGGTTTTGTTGGGCCTTGAAGGCTTGTCGTGTGTCCCCTTTCTTCGTGCTTGGAGAGTTTGAGGAGCCTCGAGATGATTACCATACATCATTTGCTTCCGTGCTCGTACTATGTGCGGTTAGTGACTGCCTTAGAGGTTTGTCGTATGTCCCCTTCCTTCGTCCCTTCGCGTTGTATGGGTGGTAAGGGTTTTGTGAGGGCCCTGGAGGCTAGTCGTATATCCACTTTCTTCGAGCTTGTAGGGTTTGGGGGGGAGCGTCTAGAGTCTAGATGATCGTCATATATGATTTGCTTCCGCGCTCAAACTATGAGGGGCTAGTGACTGTCATAGAGGTTTGTCATTTGTCCCCCCTGTTTCCTTGGTCCTGTGATTTGGTAGGGGCTTAGAGGTTTGTCATATATTCCCTCCCTTCGTCCTTTTCGTGTTGCAAGGGTTTTGTGAGAGCCCTGCAAATTTGCCGTATGTCCCTTTTCTTCTTGCTTGTAGGGTTTGGGGAGCGTCTAGACGACTGACATATGTAATTTGATTCCGGGCTCGTAATGTGCGGGGCTAGTGACTGCCCTAGAGGTTTGTCGTATGCCCTCCGCTTCCTTGTTCCTGTGATGTAGTAGGGGCCTACAGGTTTGTCGTGTGTCCCCTTTCTTGGCATCTAGATGATTGTCATAAGTCATTTGCTTCTGAGGTTTTTTTTTGGTCCCCTCCCTTCGTCCCTTCGTGCTGTAAGGGTTTCGTGAGCGCTCTGGAGGTTTTTCGTATGTCCCCTTTGTTCGTGCTTGCAGGGTTTGGGGAGTGTCTAGATGATTATCACATATCCTTTGCTTCCGCAGTCGCTATGAGGGTATTGATTGCCCTAAAGATTTCTCGTGTGCCCCCCCGCTTCGTATTCCTGTGATTTGGTAGGGGTCTAGAGGTTTGTCGTAATTCTTCTCCCTTCGTTCCTTCGTGGGATGTTTGCGTGTGTCCCCTTTCTTCGTGCTTGTAGGGTTTGGGGAGCCTAGACGACTGATATATACATATATATATATATATATATGGTACCCCCCC